CACACCTCCCCAGCCCCAGATGCAGCCTTGCCTAGTTTCTCGCTCAGGATTTGCAAAGCAGGTCAGTAGGAATGGAGGAAAACCTCTTCTGTTCTCCCTGTTCTCTAGAATTTTTCGGGTCCAGATTACCCCAGTATCCGGCCCCCCATCCTCATCCTCACTGTCAGGAGGTGGCCTGAGGTCAGCGAGCAGCAAGTGTATCGCGAGTTCCAGAACCTCTGCAAATTCGATGTCCGGCGACTCACACGGAGCCAGTTCCTGCTCTTGACCAATAAGTTCAAGGAGTAGGTGCCCTTCTTCTAAGCCGTCCTGTCGCCTCCCGGTCGCCCCACCTCTCGGCCCACAGCCACCGGCACCTACGTGGAGCAGTAGGTCTGAGACTCGCGTGCCTGACCTGAGAACACTTCTTTTGGCAGTGCTCGGAGTATCCTGAAGGAGTACAAGCACCACCCTACCCTGCAGGTCACCCTGTATCGGCACTGGAGACACTCGCCGAATGTCAACTGCTTGTTACGGTGAGTGACCGGGACTGAGGCTTGTCGTACTGGCCTGGGCTCCCAGTCTGGTCTGAGTCGAGCAGAGCTTGTCCTTGGCCCTCTTCCCCTGCCTGGGAAAGACCTCTTTGCCGAGGCTGCAGTAGCTGGTGTGTGTTGTAAAGGAGCCGTGGGGACAAGTGTGGCGACCTGAACATTATTCAGTAACGTTTGACACACGATGATTGAGCATCTGCTGTATTGGGCACTGTCGTAGGTTCTAGGGTCCGTCAGTGAGTAAAACAAAAATTCCTGTTCTTGCAGAGCTCACACTCCAGTGGGAGGTAACAAGCACTAAACAAACATGTGAACTCCATGGCCTCTTAGGTGACAGGGAGAGCAGGCCAGGAGGTGGGGGTGGAGGGTGCTGGTTAAAGGAGAAGATGTGCCGCGGGGCACCAGGGCATCGGCCTTCGATGGGGAGGCGCCCGGTGTGCTGAGGGGCAGTGAGAAGGCCACTGGGGGGGGGCACGAACGAGCAAGGAGCCGAGGCCAGAGGAGTAGGCGGGTCCCGACCGCGTGGAGGGCCGTGGCCAAGGACGCAGGAGAAAGCGCAGGCCGTCCGAGGTGTCTCGCAGAGGAGTGACATGAGGCTCTGTCTGTGCTGAGAGACTGTGAGGACACAGGGTGGGGGAGAAAGCCGGGAAGCCGCGTCACCAGGCCGCAGTGCGACTTCGGCTTGGACTGCTTGGTGGCGGAGTGGGGGCAGTGAAGGTTGGGGTCACTGGCAGACTGGAGCACAGTCAAGTTCGAGTGCAGAGCTTTTGGCCTGAGCGACTAGAAAGATGGAGTTGCTGTTCACGTGCTTTGTAAGGATTGAGGCGTCCGGTTTGGAGCCAGATCTACAGAAAGCAGCGCTGTTGAAGAAAAATGTTGGCCTCCTGTGCAGCCCTTTGTCAACCTCTGATGTAAATCAGCAGGAAACATGAGTGCTCTGTGTCCCAGAGCCATTCTGACCTGGGGAGGCAGAAGTTCGCTGTTGGTGCTGCGAGAACCATGGGAAGAAATTAACATTCGGGCGAGGCTGTGTGTCAAATCTTTCAAACCTGCATGGTGTGCACATAGCCTGCCTCACCTCCAGGCCAACTGACACGTGTCATTGTCTTGCAGCGTCTGTGGCATAGTCGCCACCTGGGCCCTTGTCGCGTTTCTTCTGGGAAGACCTAGCTCCTGACGCGGCAAGGCCATCTGCAGCTAGGCCCCATCTCCGCACCTCTCGGGAACGGCCATCCTCGGTGGTTTGTGGGACTCCTGCTTACAGATGGAACTCCATGGTCCTTACAAGGAATTTTGTTATGTTTTGAGTGAGAAATTCTGTAAACATTATCAGTGATAAAGAAATCCTTGGATCTGGTACTTCTGTGCCCGAAACATTTTTTTTGTTTTTTTTCTATCGCCAATTGGGGAGAAGTTCCCACATGTGGGAATTGAATGTTCCAGAGAGTCTTATGAACAGACAGTGTGTGATTGGACACCAAATGAACAGAAGGCTATAGTGTTTCTGGGAGAGAAAGTAATAGCCAGCGGCTGGTGGAGGTTCAGGCCTGAGAAATGGCTGAAGTTGAGTAAAGAAAGAAAGTGAAGCCAAGTGTGCATGGTGTTGGTGATGGTTTCGATAAATGTTCTAAACCATAAAGTGCTAATATCCACCTTAGAGACAACAAACTTACCCATACCACAGAGTCGAGGTATAATCAAATATTGTTTGACTGCATTATAAAATCTTAATTTCACCTACATCATTTAATATAAGCATTCATTTAAATCATCTCGAATGTTTTGTGTAATTAAGGGTAAAAACAAACAAAGTAGTAAATATTTATGGATGGACATTTCTTGCAACTGCATCTCTAGGCTGCCCCTTCCTTTCCTTGTAGCGATTTAACTGCTGTGGGAACAGGACTAATATTCATACAGGTCTGAGCAGAAGGGTGTCCCCATGATAGTTGGGGAAGGGAATTGACAGTCAGGAACCCTGGGCTTATGTGGCCAGGTGGGGAGTCCTGTTTGCCTGAGGGCCCGAAGGCCCTACCTCCTACTCCTGGAAGAAATGATTCGTTTCACCTTAAGGATTGCGTCTTTAGTTTTGAACCAGATACTTCGTTTTTGTGTTTTCTGCCTGAGAAGTGCATTGACAAAATGCAATATAGATAAAGGGAAGAGTTTATTCTGTGTGTGTGAAAATTTTAAGCTATTTCGTCCAGCATTTTGTTTAAGTCACTTGGCATGCCCAGTCCCAGGACCTATAGAGGTCTCCAGGATGATTCTGAATTTTTCAGTCGCCACAGATGTTGCAGGGTCCCTGGTGGGAAGCGAGCTGTGCTTCACAGGCCACGTGGCAGAGCCTCCCTGTTTGTTCTCTCCTCCCCGGAGAGCTGGGCTCCGCAAGGCTTTGCTTGTGCTGTGCAAGCAGATCTTCCTTGGGAGCTCCCAAAACAAGATGAAACAGAACAAGAATAGAAGCTGTCCTCTAGTTTTTAGAGCTTTCTTTATGTTGTGATAACTTCAGCATGCTTGCCATTTTGTCAGGGCTCTGAAGTGGTAGAGAACAAGCCCACATCTCAGTGCCCCCAAAGGGAGAAAGGGACATTGTAATTGGATGTCATCATTGTCAGTCATCTTGGGGCATAAAAGAGGGAGACCGGTCACCTCATGAAACAGGAGCAGTGGTTGGGCTGGGTCCGCCTTTGTCCACCCTTGTAAGGTGGCCAGCACTCTTATCTGGTTGGACCTTTGGGACAACTCAAGTTGAAATATGGATGAGAGGATGTAGGAAGCAGTGTGGGTGAGTTCTGTATACTGGAGTGTTATCTTGAGTAGAAAACAAAAGCACTTCATTAAAAATCCCGTTTGAGCATGGCCTCTAAGAAATTCAGAGTTTCTCAGTCGCTGACTTTTTAAAATAGCCTATTTAGCTAACTTGGGGTCTGCCAAGGTAAAGAAATCTTCCCTGGTTGGGGGTGGGGGTGGGGAGCAAATGCCCCTAAAATAACAGTTCAAGAGATAAAAAATATCCAACTTCCTATAGACTCAGGGAAACGGTAGAATAAAAAATAATCACTAGAATAATTTCCATTTTGTGAAAACCTAAATCACCACTTGATGGCACCAAACAACAAGAAACCCACAGGGCTTCTCATCCCTCCCGGTGGCGTCATTTAAAACGCCACTCTCCCCAGGCGTGAGGGGCGGGTGCTGTTTTGTGAACTGTTTGATGTTTCCTTCTTGGGGGAGCTTGTCCTTGACTGTATTCCCCTGCCTGGGACAGACCTTTTTGCCCAGGCTGCAGTTTAAAACAGTTTAAAAAATGATCGCTGCAACAGTTAAGAGGTTTCCTGGGGACTTGAAGGCGAGGCTGTAAATGTCGCTAAGCCTGACCCGGAGGGCTGAAACCTGGCGTGTCTATTTTCAGACAGACTGTGGGCACCGAGGGGCTGATGCCGGCCATGAAGTGCCTATGGGAGCTGAGCATGCGGCCTGGGGAGGGAAGTGGGGGCTAGAACGTGGGGCACGTGACACCACGCTTAAATCCCAGGGCGTGGACAGCCCCGGAGAGGTGGCCCTGCCCTGCTTGCTGCCCCGGACCCTGGGTAGAGGGGTCAGAGGGCGCTCTGTGCAGTACAGGGGTGGCAGAGGTGGGCTAGGTAGTGGAGCGGTGCAGCCCGGGATGGCCCCCTGCCTTATGCAGGGCTGAGAACAAGCCCTTCCGTTACTGCTGGGGATGGAGGTGGGATGGAGCAAGACGGCTCACAGCCAGGTCAGGAGGGCGCTGCAGAGGCCGAGGCCAGCAGCTCGGTGCCAGCTGTGGGGAGGGCAGTGCCCGTGGCAGGTAATCCGCCTTCACAGGTGCCCTGACGCCTCGCTTCCGCGGAGCTGCTCCCAGGCTAGGCTGAGCTGCAGGACGCTGGGCAAATGGGACTCCGCTGACAGCCCACTTGGGCTCAAGGGTGTCCCATCAGCCTTGCTGACCCTTTGTTTGCAGGTGGGCCAGGCCCTGTCCACCAGCCATCCTTCTCGTCCCTCCACACCGGGTCAGACTTGCTTTCCCGGCCTGCAGCTCTCGTCCGCGCTCTCTCCCACAGGTGTTTCCCCCAATCCTGTCCTCGCATGCCACTCCTACCTTGTGTTTGCCCCTAAGGCCATGAGGTCCCATAAGCCAGACATAGAAGGACAAATACTGCACAATTCCACTTACATGAGGTACATACAGCAGTGAACTCGCAGAGGCAGAAAGCAGATTCGAGGTTCCCAGGGGCTGGGGAGGGAGGAATGGGGAGTCATGTTTAATGGGGACAGTTTCAGTTTGGGAAGATGAAAAAGTTCTGGAGATGGGTGGTGGTGATGTTTGCATGATAACATGATCATAATAACCGCTGAACTGTACATTAAAGAATGGTTAAAATGGTAAATTTTATGCTGTATATATTTTACTACACAAAAAAATAAGCTACCAAACTGTTACATAAAATATGTTCTAGCCTTCCACCTTGGTAAATACACCTTTGTAATGACTGGAAGACCAGGTTCAAGTTTAGCGTTCTCGGACTCCATGGAGTTCTGTGCTGGACCACGGCCACCCTGGAGAGCCGGCCCTGGCCTCCCGGGTATGTCCAGCCCTCTCCTCTTCCTGCATTTGGCCTTGGCCGTCACCACGAGGGGCCTCACCCACACGTGTGGGTGCCCCGGCCGCATACCTGAGCTCTGTGCGTATCCTCTGTGAAGAATCAGCCTACTTTGGCCACCCCTTGGCCCAGGTGGACCTACGGGCAGTGTAGTTCCCGTTGGGGACGGGCCCAGGGCCAAGGTCTGTGCAGGCCCTGGGAGCTGCCTAGTGGGTTTGCCCCAGAGAAGCAGGGTCCTGGGCACCCAGAGCATGACGTCCAGGGGGAGGGCCACCGAGTGCAGGCAGGCCCATGGCCTGTGCCCCATGGATTTTGGGGTGGGATGTGTTGGAGGTGGAGCCACTGGGGACCTTTCAAGTATGGGACGCAGAGCAGAGGCCCCGCTTAATCAGGCCTAGTGCAGTATTGAATATTTAGGGTCACCTGCTCTCTGTGACAAGGATTGGGGTGGGGCTGGAGAGGCCAGTGAAACCTGACATGCATCTTCACCTCTCCCGTTGGTCACCCAGAACCCAGGCCCCAGGCACACGGTTGGGGTGGGGTGTGGGTTCCCCGCCATATGATAGGCTCACTTTCCTGGCCTCCCTTCCTGTGGGCTGTAGGCATTTGATGTTGGCATGGCCAGCCAGATTTGTCTGGTCCTGACTTCGCTTCAGCTGCTGGTGACAAGGGAGCGGGGACACTGAGAATCCTCTCCGGTGGGGGTGGGAGCTCGGGAGACAGAGCCCGGGGCAGCAGGACTGGTGCTAACAGCCCACTGGGCTCCGGGTGCCAGTGGCAGTGGGGGAGCAGCTGAGTCACCCGTGGCTTGGCGGAGGCATCGGTGACATCGTGATGGAGCTAATTCTGCAGCACGATTTTAGCATCATGCAGTTGTTTTTGGCATCCTAACTTAGCCTGGATTTTTCTGTCCTGGAGATTCTGTGAGCTAGCTAATATTCTTTTAATAAACCCCCTTTCTACTCACATTAGCTGGAGCCTGTTTTTGTTGTTTGCAGGTAGCCCTAACTGATACAGGTCCCTTGGCACAAGGAGAGTTTAGAGCCAGAAGTACCTACACAGCACCTTCTGTGCAGTTTTAGATGAAGTATACTAAACTAGGGACTCCGAAAGCATTCCTGAAAACTAGATGGGAAGAGGGGCATTTGGGCATTGATCAATGAACCTGTCCCCCTAGGGCAGCACTCATAAAAATGATGTCCTCTGACAACCCAAGTGTCCATCAGTGGATGGATGGATGAACAAATGTGGTATAGACCCATTTCATTCAATGCGATAGAATAATATTCAGCCTTTAAAAGGGATGGAGTTCTGACACATGCTACAACATGGGTGAACCTTGGAGGCATCATACTAAGTGAAATCAGCCAGACACGGGGAACAAATCTTGTAGGATTCCGCTTAACGTGGGGGTACCTAGAGTAATCAAAACTCATAGAGACAGAAAGCAGATTGGAGGTTCCCAGGGGCTGGGGAGGGAGGAATGGGGGGTTAGTGTCTAATGGGGACAGAGTTTCAGTTTGGGAAGATGAAATAGGTCTGGAGACAGTGGCGATGGCTGCACAATAATGTGACTGTACTTAGTGCTGCTAGACTGTACACTTAAAAATGGTTAAAATGGTAAATGTTATGGCATGTATATTTTAACATAAAAAATTACATGCAAAAAAAGTCCTCCAAAGGGACGGTTTTGTGTATTGAGAGCAAGACTTGAACCCCACATCAAATTAGATT